CTACGATGCCGGCGAAACGTTTAAAAATGTATCAAGTCCACTGTCAGATGCTGGGAATCATGACAACTACAAGGGCAGACGACTTCGGACTAGGTGTGTTCTGTTGAGTCGCCCTGGATGACAGATGAGAATCCAGCACGAATATATCGGAGTCACAGAACGGTATACTGAGGTGCGGCCAATTCACGAATTCTCTTCAACTAACTTTTCCTTTGAAATGAAAAGCAAAGTCATACTAAGTCATTAAATGTTTCTTTATATAATAAGCATGCTATTTACCATTGGACTCAGGCTTTGCTCCGAGCTGCTGTGCACAATATATCAGGTGATACCACAAACACGCACAATCAAAACAAATCCTCCTAACTCAAGGTCTACTACGCTTAAAACACTCATTGTCCTTTAGTTATTGAGGTTTCGGAAGTATAAATACATATTGAAAATGAATCAGAGTCCCTTTAAGTCTCATAAAGTGTTATAAGGCGTGGTAGTTGGGGCTCCCACAATAAGAGGCCTCACAATGCCATTTAATTTCACTTAGCTTTGGTTACAATAAGCTCATCTAAGCCTCATTAACACCCCAATATGATTCCAGACTGGAGAGGTAATGCTGTTATGTATCGTTTGCGATCCATTTCAAATACTGCTGGAATTTTCATGAAACTGAGGCAAGGTGAAAACTGCATTTCGCTTGTATGCGAAAGCATCTTGAGCTGCATAGTTAAGCTAACTTTGATGGGATCGTAAAGCCTTATATCAGTACTAAAGTCAGCATAAGGTTCTTAAGTATTGTTTGGTATATTTTGCTGACTCCAATTTCTTAATAAGACTAGTCGTCAGTTAATCGCATATGGTTGGTGTGTCAATTTTTCAAGCAAGTTTGTGATGTGGAGATATTTAAATAATGCTGTAATCCTGCTAGCTCACCGGACAGGCTTCTTAGGCAATTTTGGCTGCCAAGCTGACGAAAGCCCGGAGTGTGGCTGTCCATTTTTCTTTGTTTGTCCCCTGTTGGTATGGAAACTCATATTAGCAGATATTGGAGTCGAGGCATTCAGAGACTCTGACCTGCAGTCAGAGTTGTAGTCAGGGCCTGATTCAGAAGGAAGTCCGTTGACCCGCCTCGGCGACTGCTTTCGAGACGAAAGTAGCTCGGTAGCCAGTGGTGTGTTTGTAACGTCGTTTCCAGGGTTAAAATTTATGGTACTGCAGCTGGTGTCAGGCGAAGGAGCCGGCAACACAAGCGCGCATTTACCATTCATCTGGTGCCCTGATGAAAGTCGCTATAGCAGGAAGCCGAAAAAGAAATATAACAAAATAGCAAAATTTATTTATTTACACAAGGATTTTCTGGTCTTGGTGAATTATGTCTTTGTATGATCATTAATTTCATAGGCCCAATGCTAATCTCATATGTACGCTAGGAAATAAATTAATAAGGAAACAAATAATTGTGGGTTTTATATACATAACTCTAACTATTTATTACCTTCATTGCTCACTAGGGCGTCTAAAAATGATAGCTTATCTCACCATTTTAGTAGTGACGTCTAATCTAATTTATGTAAGGAAGCAGTTGTGACCGCATGCACTTTCTAATCATAAATTAGTTTCACCTATCTTCTAAATCCTGTATGGCAAGCCCGAAGTAACCAGGTAAATCATAGGATGCCTCATAAAGATAGCAGAGTTCGATATAAGAAATGAGAAGATTGGCAGCTTGCCACTTTTTAATTTGTCTTATTATAATAGTCCGGTTGTTCGTAAAGTATCGTTGTTCACTCTGACGAGGTGTCACACGAATGAAAGCTCAGCATGGATTCATCTGGGTCACAGGTCGGTGATCAAAAGACTTTTTCACACAAACCAATAGTCTTAGTTACGAGACAATCCGCGTTTGGTTTTTGATGATACCAATTGCCGAATAACTTCCAACTAACTTTACCCTCGAAATGAAACGTAGAGCCATACTCTATTATTAATGGATTCTTCTAAACTCAGCTCTATCTCTTCTTTCTTGTATCCTCGTGACTCAATAACAAAACTTGTAACTCGGTTATTTTGAACCAATTTATTGAAGAATAATCACATTATCAGATGGCTTTATCTTCGTTCCAGTGTTGTCGAGATTTTTGATCCGATTTGACCTTTTCAGTCTACAGGCCACTTCATGCCGCTCTCATCCCAGAGTCTCTCCAGTACCCTACATAGTTGGTTTCTCATCTCACCAGTCGACTGATTTTACTCGACTCATGACAACCTAGGCTTGCTTCAAGCATTTGACAGCATGTATACGCTAGCCTCAAAGCTGACTGATACTATCCTAACGCTATAGGCCAACATAGCACAGTGTTTATACTTTTAAAGTTCGGCATGTCTACTCGGTTTGTGAATCTCATGGTCGGGTATTAACTCCACGATTTATCTCCATGATTTAGGTAGTGTACTGTAAACCAACTGAAAACTCAAGTTAGTCCAATTTTCAGCTATGAGGGTCTACACACCCATATCCACATGGTTAATACAAGTGAATAAACCACTTTTGAAATGCACAATGTTGAAAAGGAAGACCGGCAAATTCAGCCTCATTAAGCTTCTTCTTATAAGTGAATAAGAGGTGAAAACTAGGTTTGGATACTACCAGAAAGGAAGAGTTCAACTAAGCCAACACTAAATATGATTAGATGTAGGCAATAGATAAGGTTGTAGCTGTAAGATGTATACAGCGCCCAGCAGCCAAATCAATACGCCTTTTCAATGATGCAAAAATGAAGATGTATAGGGTGGTAAATAGATATCTTGCAACGTAATCAAGAGTCCTTAAACAACTGGTAAGCGTCTTCGAGAAATAGTAAATAAAACCCAAGCTGCATAGGCCGAGTAAACCAATACACAGAAGATGGAAATAATAGGAAACTGTTTATTT